GGGGATGGAGGGCGGCGGGCAGGATGGAGCGGGGAAAGAGGAGCCAGCATCTGGCAGGGCTCCTCTGGGCGGGGAGAGGAAAAAAACTCAGCTGTGGGACTGGGAGATGGAGGACCCCAGGGAAACAGCCCTGAGACTGAGGTTTGCTGAGAACGAGTGAAAAAGGAGAGAAATTCAGAGCGCAGAACAGAGAGGGCATGCCCACAGCGGGGTGAGGGGCGAGCATGCCCAGAGGCAGAGGAGGGCAAGGCACACAGCAGCGAACCGAGGGACCAAAACACTCACGAGCCCCGAGGTACTGGTCCGCGCTCCAGCAGGTATTTCTGGTAGGTGGAGAGGTGTCTCCTGTGCTGCAGATAACGCTTTGCTTGAGCTGAGCCCTTTCTGTGTCCTTCCCTGCAGGCCAGGCTGCAGCTGGGCTCGGAGGAGGTGACCCTGCAGTCCCCAGCAGAGCTGCAGCTCAATAACCTGGTGGTGCATGACGTGGAGCTGCTGGTGGAAGACGGGAGGATGACGCTGACCATTGACGGCCTCTTCAACAGCTCTGTGGACATCGCAGGACCTGTACGGGAGCTGGACATCCAGTACGGCCTCTATGCTGGTGGGACAGGCAGCCTTGACCTGCCATACCTCGCTGAGGCCAGCTCACCCTTCAGAGGTTGCCTCCACTTAGTGACGTTCAACGGCCTGGATGTCCTCTCCCCTCTGTCCTCTGATGGCAGCTCTAAGATCTTCCACAGGGTCCAGGAAGGCTGCAGCACGCAGTTCTCTGCGGAGCCCGAGGACCCCTTTGGGTTCCTGGGGCCACACTCCTACATCGCGTTTCCCACGTGGGATGCGAGGGAGGAAGCGACCATTGAGTTTGTGATAACGACGAGCATCACTCAGGCACCCCTCATCTACCATGCGGGGCTGGAGAATGACTTCTTCTACCTGGAGATCTCCAACGGGCGCCTGAGAGGGTTTGTTGAGAAGGGGAATGGCATCATCATCCTACACAACAATGTCTTCATCAGTGATGAGCAGCAGCACTATGTCAAAGTCTACACGGACATCCACAAGTTTGAGATACTGATAGACTACTACGCCTCATCCACATCCAACCGGGGCATCAACAACTACCTGGACCTTCAGGGAAACCTCTTCATCGGAGGTATGAACGAAAAAGCTTCGCAAAGGCTGAGGGAGCATCATCTTTCTTTCATCTCGGTGTGGACAATGACCAACAACTCGTTTGTTGGCTGCTTGGAGGACCTGCGGATAAATCTGCAGAGGAGGAGTCTGCAAGATGCCGTGATCACGAAGGACATCACATCAGGCTGTGGAAAGCAGGAGCACTACTGGGACTATGACGAGGTGTATGAGCAGGATGAGGCTCCCACCTCCCCACCTCCAGATGTCTGGTCAGGAGCACCAGGCCTGGTGGTGGAACCGTGCCAGCCAGACGACAGCTTCCCACCTGCCTTCGCCAACATCAGCAGACTGCTGCACGTCAGCCCCCTCATCGTCTCTGAAGGGGGCACAGCCTATCTGGAGTGGAAACACGCCCAGCCAACAGTAGACTTGAGCCTTGCAAACATCCGACAGTCCCAAATCCTCTTTAGCATCACCAATGACCCCAGGCACGGCCAGCTGGAGCTGGACATTCCTGGGTCCAGGAGCAGAAGGAAGTTCACCTTGCTGGACATCATGAATCGGAAAGTCAGATACATCCACGATGGCTCCGAGGGGCCCATGGACCAGCTGATGCTGGAGGTGACAGTGACTGCCCAGGAAGGGGTCCCAGAGTGTTTGCGGCAGGGGCAGGTGTACCTGCTGCCCATCATGATCAACCCCATCAATGACGCCCCACAGGTGATCTTTCCCCTTGGGAACCACATGACAATCCTGAAGCACACGCGCAAACACCTGACCACGGACATCCTGCAGGTCCTAGATGATGACACTTCCTGTGATGACCTTGAATTCCAACTGCACGGTGGCCAGCAGATGGAGGAGGGTTATGTGGAGTATGACTTTCACCCTGGAGTGCCCATCGAAGAGTTCTCCTGCAGGGACCTGGAAGCAGGCAACGTAGTCTACGTGCACCAGAGTGGGACTGACTTACAGCTCACCTTGCAGGTGAGCGACGGCACAGTCCCAAGCCCCGTTGCCACCCTGAGGATCCTCGCCATTGACCCCGACATCCGCCTGCACAACAACACCGGCCTCTCCATCTCCCAAGGAGGGGCTGCACGCATAACCACAGCCAACCTGTCAGTGGAGACAAACGCAGTGCAACAACGGGTCTCCATCCTGTACCTCCTCACAGAGCCTCTAAGGTATGGTGAGGTCCAGAAGCAAGGGAGCATGGGAGGGGAATGGAAAAAAGTCGAGTCCTTCCACCAGCAAGACCTGGAGCAAGGGCGCATCCAGTATTTTAGCACAGACTCAGAGCACCGGCTGGAAGACAGCGTGGAGAAGCTGAGATTCAAAGTCCAGGTGGGGCAGAAGGTCTTGCAAAACAACACCTTTCTCATAAGGATTAAAAGAGCCACCATTAAGATGAGGACCATGGTCCCCCTCCAGATGAAGAACAAGCGGCACAGCAATATCACCAGTAAGGAGCTGGAGGCAATGTTGGAAGATCCAAACTCTGCCCCAGTCCCCTTCCACTATGTGATAATCCAGGCTCCCAAAAAGGGAAACCTGGAGCTGCTCGGCAACAGGCTGACCGAAGGCTTTGGGTTTACCCAAGATGACCTGCAAAGAAACCACCTGAGCTACAGCGTGACCATCAGGAACTCTCAGCAAGCCGAGGACACCTTCCAGTTTCGCATCCGCGCCGGTGAGCAGCACTCTCCCGTCTATACCTACAGAATCAGCATTGGTGGGGACCCTGATGCACCAGCCCTGACCAACGTCCTCCTGACTGTGCCGGAAGGGGGACAAGCCATCATCTCCAAGGACCACTTGTTTGTGCAGAGCATGAACAGCATGGACTACCTCTACGAAGTGATTGAGGGACCAGCACACGGGAGGCTCGCCTGGGCTGCATCCCATGGGTGGGCCTCCAGAGAGGAGATCACAGAGTTCACCAATGATGACATCCTTCACCGTCGGCTGCTGTACCAGCACGATGACTCCGAGACACTGGAGGATGACATCCCTTTCGTAGCAATCAGGCAGGGCGAGGGCAGCGCTGAGCCCGATGCAGAGGAGGTGAGAGGTGTTTTCAGGGTCTCCATCCAGCCCATCAATGACCACACCCCGGTCCAGGTAGTGAACAAGGTCTTCAATGTGGTGCGCAATGGGCAGCACCTGCTGACGACAGATGACATCGCCTTTGCTGACAAGGACTCTGGCTTCTCCGACATGCAACTGGTGCTGGCAAGGAAGGACATTTTGTTTGGTAGCATCGTGTCTGTCGATGACAGAAGCCGCCAGGTCTATCGGTTCACACAGGATGACTTGAGGAAGAAGAAGATCCTCTTTGTCCATTCGGGGGCTGACCGGGGCTGGATCCAGCTACAGGTCTCGGATGGCCTCCACCAAACCACAGCCCTCCTGGAAGTACAGGCATCAGACCCCTACATCAAAATAGTCAACAACACCGGTCTAGTCATTCACCAAGGCAGCCGAGGGAGCATTGACTCCTCTGTCCTCAGCCTGGAGACCAACATGGACATCAGGTCAGATGAAGAAATACGGTTCCTGATAACAAGCCCCCCGAGGTGGGGGACCGTGCTGAGAGGGGAGCAGCCAGTCATGGCCTTCTCCCAGAGGGACCTGCTAGCAGGAGAGATCTCCTACCACCACAATGGAAGCAGGAACAGCCGGGATGAGCTCCAGTTCACTGTAGAAGCAAATGAGGTGATGGTGGAGGACACGCTGGCCGTCAGCGTGTTCTTGGACACCCATCCCAGCCCTCTGCGCATAGTGAACCACAAGGAGATCCACGTCTTCCAGGGCGAAGCAGCTGGGATCAAGGAGGAGCACTTACTGGTGAGTATCCCACTCTCTAGTCATTCCCCAAGCCTGCATCACTTTCCTGGCCACCAAACCAGGATAACCACCAGTGGGACTCCATTTTACTCTCACCTGCCTAGAGCAAAGGACTTGCATCCATACCAGGCTCTGCCCAGGGTCACAGGAAGGGTTCAGGCATGGGCTCAGGAAGGTGACTCTTGCAGCTCATCCTACAGCAAAGCCTTGGGGGTTTGTACAGTGGTGGGCTGTGGGGCAGCCCAACCTTCCAGGCACCAGCCCCCCACTCATGCCTTGTCTTCCCCACACTCCCAGGTGACCCACGAAGAGATTCCTCCCCAAGACATAGTCTACCTGGTGAGCAGCCCCCCAGCCTCTGGCTTCCTGGCAATGCTTCAGCATGGTCAAGACTCAAACGAACAACCCAGCCTGGACCCCATCCAGTCCTTCACCCAGGAGGACATCAACAACGGCAGAGTCCTCTACCTCCACTCCAAGCCGAAGGAGGAACGTGACCAGTTTGTCGTGGACATCACAGCTGGCGGCGTCGACCCGCTGGAGGGGGTGGTGGTGAGCCTGGCTGTGCTCCCCATCACCATCCCCCTGGATGTCCACAACATCACAGTGCCAGGAGGTGGCTCTGCTACCCTCTCCACAGGCATCCTCAACATCCCCAACACCTACTACGCAGCTCTCGGTGTCGAGTTCAGGGTGCTCGAGCCCCCCCGGTTTGGCACCCTCCTGAACAGCGAGCAGCCCGAGGATGGTGGGCTGCACAGCTTCACCTGGAGCGAGGTACAGAGCAGCCAAGGGTGCCCACTCGCTTGCCCACCACACTGCTTTCCCAAGGGGTTTGGGAAGAGCCCAGGGGTGGGCTCCAGCCGCCAGTTGCACTGAGAGACTGGGGAAGGCTGCAGGGCTTCTCTCCCCATCAGAGATATTTGCCCTCAGGACAGAAGGGTTTGGGGTGGTAGGTTTGCCCCTGTGGACAGGGCATGCATCAACCCCCAAGGTGTGTTTAAATGTCCCTGGGGCTGCAGAGTAGGGATGCAGGCAGAGCACCCATGTTGTGCTCCCGCTCTGCTTCCCGTGGGGATCCCGGTCTTTGCACTGGATCCATCCCGCAGGGATGCCCAGAGCAAGTGGTAGGTGGGCAGCTTGCTCCCTCCTCCCAGGCGGGTGCACAGGTCCCCTCCCCAGCAGGGCCGGTGGCCCGTGTCCTCCCCGGAGGGTCACTCGGCCCCTGCCCCGCAGGTGGAGAGCCAGCGGATCCAGTACAGGCAGGATGGCCCCCGGGCGCTGGTCGACAGCTTCACCCTCCTGGCCAACGTCTCCGAGATGGACCGGCAGAGCCAGCCCAGCACCCTCTTCATCACCATCCTGCCCCGCAGCTCCAAGGGACCCCGGCTGAGGGTCAACGCCGGCCTCCAGGTAAGAGCGGGATGCCACGGGGATGGGCAGCCACCTCAGCGCTAGGACACCCAGGGGGGTGGCCAGCTCAGCGTGGGGGCCCCACGGAACCCACTCCAAGCCTGGTCCCGCACCTCTAGGAATTCGGGCACACCAGAGCCGGGGTGCGGTGATGGGCTCCGGGGAAGGAAGGCGGTTTCCCAGGGGGGCGAGGCTTTGCAGGAGGCGGAGACCGGGCTGTCCCCCTCCCACTCCCACTCCCACTCCCTCTCTCCACCCGGTCCCTCCCCGCTGCCGATGCCGAAACCGTCCGCAAGATGGGAGCATCGCCCCGCAGCCCCGCTCCCGGCGGCGGGGGGGTCCTCAGCATCCCCTCTTCGGAGGACAAGCAGCCTGCTCGCCTTTCCCCAGGTCCCGGAATAATTCCTGGGAGCACGAAGAGCAGCTTGCCTACGCTTCATCAGCACAGATTGGAAATAACTGAATTATTTAGGCAGTTTTCACACCTCTCCTTATACCCACCTCAGTAAAGTCAGAAGCAAATAGGTCTCACCTGCTGCTGAAGCCCCACATGAAATTATTAGAAAACATGCAGGAGTGCCAGCCCAGCAGGATCATTCCCCCCTAGGCTATCCTCACCCAGCCCAGGATTTCCCAGGCTGGCAGCAGAGAAAGCAGCTCCTTCCATCAGGATCATGACACCAGGATCATCGCAGTGGCTTTGGGAAGGGGTCTGGGATCCTAGGTTCTGGGGGAGATGCCCAAAGGGAAGGGTACAGGCTGTCCTGCCCAGGGCCAGGCAGCAAGCAGGCAGCCCCAGAGGCCGGGGGA